CCCTGAGCCGGTGAGATTTGAACAGCCGAACTGCAGAACTGCAGTCAGCTGAAGTAGCCTGCAGTACTGCATTTAACCACTGCGCCACCTCGGCTTGAACAGTAACTGTTCAATAACTTTTTGACTGTGGTTTAATAAAGCCTATTTTATATGTTTACTTCACTGCAACTCTCTCCCACAAAGCTTCTTGTAGATCCAAGAGATGGCCATAGTTGTTGACAGTTGGAGTAAAACACTGATCAATGTAAAACAGTTGTCTTAAATCAATCAAGTCAGATCGCTAGATAACCCTGCCAACTGTAATAAGCCAATATGTAGTGGCTTGTGATACTCATTCATTACACATTTCAAAAGTAATACGATTTGCTTTTCAACTTAATTCATTGAATCCCATGCAGATGACACTAGCTCCAAGATCTGTGGAAGCATGTCCATACAGAGGCCTACAAGATCTGTGGAAGCATGTCCATACAGAAGCCTACATGATTTTCTGCATTCAGAAGACCACAACTGGGGGTGGGGAAGGGTGAAAAAAATGGCATTGCCAGGAAGCAATTGTAGACATGGTCTCACAGCTGCTTCTTGTACAGTTTACTCTTCAGGGTAAAAGGTGTGTGCAGAGATCTACCACAAATGCTAAAAATTAAAAATAAAATCTAGATAGCACGGATAGATAGGTAAAAATGAAAAAGGTTAATAGGACGTCTTAATAAAAAATGAGGGATTTTACCTACTTGATAATGTTATCTGTTATGACAATTCGTCCTGAACCAGGAATCAACGGAGTGGCTTGCTTCAGGTCTAAATCTTAAATTAAAAAAATTAAAAACAGTAAGTAATTAATAGTAAAGTTATTATGGGTTTTTGTATTAATTCCTTAATCAACTTCAGGGCACCATAATTACCTTTGTCTTGTGTTAACATGGTTCGTTGGTATTTCCCTTTGTTTAGCTCCTTCAGAACTTGCATTAATTCTGTAATTCGAGCTGTGAAGCTAAAGGTTATAAATCTATTAAACTGACAGACTTCAAGAATTTTCTTCAAAACTGAACGTTCATCAAAAATAGATGAAATCGACAAGTTTAAAATGGAAAACAAAATAATACATATCACGAGTGCATATTATAAACATTTAGAAAGATTTCTTTTTCCATAAATGATGGTCCAAGCTTTGTTAAAATACTTCCTTTTTTATATTTCAAATATACTTTTTTNTGACTTTGGGTCACTCACTCTCTCTCAGCCCAATGTACCTCACAGGGTTGTTGTTGAGGAAAAAGTAGGAGGAGGAAGTGTGTTGGATATGCTAGCGGCCTTGTGTTATTTGTAAAAATGATAAAGGGGAGATTCAAACAAATAAATTGTTTGAATAAATAATGCATTTCACCTGGTCAGAGATGCCTTTCCTTTTCTGATCTTCTATAGTGTCTGGATAAATTACTTGGTCTCTCAACGTCCCGAGTGTCATATATGGTCTCTGAAATTAAAGTTAAATTATAATTAGAAAATTGGGGCATTTGTCAGAGAGAAGAAATGTCAACGGTCCTGGTGGTTTGATTTACCTGGGGAACATAAAACAACTTTCCTCTCTCGGGTTTAGTTAGGCAGCCGCCGAACAAGGGCCATAACTGCAATAAGAAAAACACAATTTATTAGAATAGAAACATAACGTCATTTTTTTCATCCTTCAAATCAAGTTTACTTTTAGCCTTTACTTACTTCACCAAGGACCCTGAAGAGAGAACTTTTTCCACATCCATTTGGCCCACAAATAAGAACATTTGCCCCAGATTGCACCTGGAATATAAATCAAGACAGAATACGTATGTTTAAAGTTTCTCAAATGTTAAAAGCTACAGTATATGAATTGCCTTCACAATGCATGAGATTCGCTTCATTAACTTGGGAACATATATTTGATTTAGCAAGTATTTTCTAGATACTCCTTTGAAACACAAGCACTCAAAAGTATTCAAACCTTGGAAGTGTTTATAAAATTTGGTAGAAGGAAGTTAAAAACCTACATGCAAATTTTCGGTTCACTATGGGACGGACCTGCTTTTTTAAAGTACTAAAATGCTCAGTTAAATTGACACATTTTAAAAATAATTTGAACTAGATTGATTTATGAAAATAAAATGGAAGATTCTGCTATTGTAGCGTGTCTCAATCAAGTATGGTTCTGGGCTTAATACAGAGTTATTTTTCTGATCTGGTCTATCTTAAAGATCATCCCCCTGGCTACTTACTTGTGGAATGCCACAGAAAGTGGTCCTCTCTCTCCCCTACTCTTAATCATTTATATGAAGCCACTGGGAGAAATTCTGAAGTGACTTGGGGTGCTGATGATACAAAGTTTTATGCTGCCACCCAAGTCTGAACTGGGCTCCATCAACTGTGGAGGTCCTTTTTTTTGGTCTGGAAACTATAAGGATTTGGATAGGACAAAACAGGTTGTTCTAATGAGGCAATCTTGGAGCTACACAAAAAATGTTATGGAATGGATATTTTGGTTTATATTATGACTACTTAATGGGAAAAAAAACTGTGTTTTTTTCAAATTCCTATATTAGTGTTGACTAGACCCATGGAGAATAGCAATCAGTTTGTCAAATTTCTCCTGGTTTCCATGTGTATAGCATGATTATCACCAGGAAGAGATTTATGCAAATATTTAGTATTATGCATACAGAGGATGGGAAAACTACTTAGAATCTATGTGGGTTAGCTCCCCTCTTAAAAGTTTCCCATATAGAAATCTTTCCTTTTCCTGCCTCTTGGGACTTTCCCCCAAATTTAGAAAACATTCTTGTCTGTGAAAGGGCCCTATACTGAGATGGAGAAATTCCTCAAAATTAGGTAGATTTCACTGAATAATAATATAATATAATAAATATAATATAATAAATATAATAAATATAATAATTATAATATAATATTATAATATAATATTATAGTAATGTAATGTAATGTAATGTAATGTAATATAATAATATAATATAATATAATATTATAATAAATATAATATAATATAATAAATATAATATAACATGACATAACATACAATATAATATAATATAATATAATACCTCCAATATAATATAATATAATACCTCCAATATAATATAATATAATACCTCCAATA